TCGAACTTATCACGAGAGCATGGAAACCGACGTAGATAGAAGGGGAAGGAAATGAATTTGCGCGCATTTCCACGATCGCGTGAAAACGTTCCGACGCTTTCTTCTTCTCATTTCCCATCGCGTGATCCATCGAACTTGAGATCCGTTCAGCGATCTCTTTCCGATCCTCTGCATTGTCTTCCCCCGCATTTTTCACGCTCTGCCGCAGCTAGAACATGGCATTTCCACGATGTTCTCCAGATTCGACTCGCAGGCTTGCTGATATTTTTCTTCCTCTCTTTTTTTTTTTTTCTTCTATATAGACGCTGCCGCGTCCAAGAGAGATTATACTCTTTGAAAGTTACAATGCATCCTACCGAGTGTGTTGCATATCCAACAATATTGGCGATATCTCGTAACGGAGTAATTCGTTCTGAAACTTTGTTCGTTGTTGCGTTCGTTCATCGTAGGGCACATGTATATACGTACTTATACATGGATATTTAATAAATATGAAAAATTAAATATGTATATAAAATAAGGACATGCGTTCGTAAATCGTCGAATACTTAAGGCATGATCTGCGTGATGAAATAAAATTGTATCGTGCAATTTTGCTTTATACAATTTCAATGATGTAAAGACTGTATAATGCAGGCTGTACGTCAAAGATTATTGAAAAGTGGGTAATTGATCCTACACTCTCTGAAATACAAATCTCTGAAATGGGATCTTCTAAATGAAGTCTTGTCCTAATTAATTGCCTTCAAATATGAAATTAGTTTATATAGTTGGCATAATACAGTTAGGTATTGATTTTTCACGTGATTTTTATCGTATGAATGAATATGAATTCGTTGTTTTGTTGGGAAAATTTCAGTCAGTCAGTGATTTTAATTACACATGTATGTATTTACATGTATTATTAATTTAGTGTTAAAACGTTACCTGCAATCCAGATAAATATAGTGAAATTGAACAGCACAGATAAATGAGAGAATTGCATCAACGTTTTAGTAATCATTTCGTTTCAAATGAGCAAATGCCTGCTGACTTGCGAACGAAAGTGTATGTTCTTATTAAATTTATTATACTATAAATTCAATTTACTACATTTAAATTTTATACACGTGTATAAGATTTATAAAGGAAATTATAAAAAAAAAAAGAAACAGGAAAACGACCGCGTTCTTTTGTAACATTCCTTTGGTTTGCAAGTTTTGATTTAATGAACAAAGCTATACTAGATTATACTCTATTATATCCTAGGGTCTAGATAATTATTCCTTCGAATTTATCTTTTTTCCTCGATCGAATACAATGGAAAATTATACAGAATTCTTGTCACAAGTATTTCGGAGTTTCTTTCCGCGGAGAACTCTAATTCGAGAACAGTACCGCATTCGAGATCCCGCGTCGACGTTAACCAGCCTCTGACAAGGAAACAGGAAACACTTCAATCGATAAAATAACCCGAGAGAAACCCCGTGTACACCGCGGGCGCACACATACATCCAGACCTAACGACTTATTCTTTTAAGACGCGGTAAAACTTTTGAAGGACGTTTTTCCTCCGCAGACGCCATATTCTCTTGACTTTTCGAGAATGCGCCTTACCCGGAAAATATCCCGAAGCTGGCTCCCACACAAAATAAAACCGGTGGAAACTCAACGCAGTAGATAAGTCGTGGCATAAATGTCAACATATGTCTCGCGGTATTTTCTGCTTCTGTCGTGATGCGTTTCATCTCCTCGTTCTTTGCACCCGTTTCTCCCCCGCCACCTCGGCATTTACAGCTTTCATCGGTATTTCAGATGGCAGTTTTCCTGGTTTCTCGCCTTTCTTCCCACTTCTTTTCTTCTCATCAATAGTTTTCTTGTTTCCTTTCTTTTTCTTTTTTTTTTTTTTTTTTAATCCTTGCTTCCGTGCAGCCGTGTATAAGAAATAAAAGTCCTCTGGATGCTCTCCATATTTTTCACTTGCGAGGCTAAACGTGGCCGAATACCAGTGGATTTATTCCGACCTGGTATGAAACAAATTTCTTCCTTATTTTTCTGGATAATTTTCCCGACGATCGCGCGCCGCGAGTGGCTTGACCAGCTCGTGAAAGCCACTCTTTCAGACCGACTGATGGAATCGGACGGTCGGTTCAGAGTTCTCCAGTTTTCACGAATTTTCTTTGTCGTAATCCCAACGGAGATCACACTGTGGGAATTATAATTTCTCACGAACACGGTCGGGTCACGACTTTTCTCTACGTGTTTTTCCCCCTCTTCTTTTTTTCTTTCAAGAGAGAAGCTTCGTACGCGAATGAAATGGATTGAAGGAGAGCGGATGGACGGGAAATTAGAAATAAGTTTACTTAGTTAGTTACGCAGCGCATTTGTGCCGCTTTCAAAACTATGGCTTTGAAGTTGAAATAACTCGAGAAACGTGGTTTTATATTTGACTGATCAAAGGTTCGTGCGACTTGCTTTTTCTTTGAGGCGACCGGTCCTTCGCTCTTGCTTAATTTCGAAAATTGAAAAACATTCTATTCGCGAGGTCGTGCATTTCTCTTGGGACGCATTCGCTCGACCTCGACCCTATGTAGCTGAATTTTTTTTTACATTCTTTCGTAGATTAAGAAATTAGGATTGTCTGTCCAGTGAATGAACGTTTAAACTCCATGTTTGTTAAAATAACAGTGTTGCACATATTTGACAAAATTCCGTGCATAACTGTGCTTTAAAAA